AGAAAGAAAGTGATTGTTGAAAGAAGAAGAAAGACATTGTGAGAAAGAGTTATCGGAAGAAGAAAGAAAGTGATTGTTGAAAGAAGAAGGAAAAAGACATGGAGACAAAGACATTGGACACTTTGAGACAAAAGACATTGAAAGACGCCATGAGTAAAAGAAAGACATTAACGGACATTTGAGACGTGGCTGGCCTAAATGAGACACACAGAAGGTAAATATACAGACAGGCAACAAACGCACAGAGACATATTAAGTCATATTTACACATTTAGCTAGGTCATTCGTTCATAACACCACATTTAGCTGCATGAAAGAATACAGGACAATCGTTAAAATTAATTAGACTCTTGCTTTAGCATGAGACACAAGGAGATTAGAACAGCAGTATATTTAAGGTAGAGGAGCACTATTATTGAAACTAGTATTATTATTTAAAGTTATAGACGCGGAGAAGTTTAGAATTATTGATTTTGACTGCATGATCTTGGTAATACGGATATTTAAAGCAGTGTTTTAAACCTCTGAACCGTGGCTCGTTAATCATTTAAAAACAGTCACATGCACAGTTGAAACTGGTGCTAGGAAGAGAACTGCAGCTTTTAATGGACGCTGCATTTAGTACAAAATGGTTTGTTCAGACAATTAAAGTTTGAAAAATGATTTAAAGCATTTCTAAATTTTGGCTAAAGGTGACTTTGGATCATTTCTGATAACACATTGACGCAACACTGTTCATTGGTTGAAAACACGGATGTAGGGACATTTTTTGAAATCTTTTATGACATGTTTCTCTTCCAAATAGCTAAATTAGAAAAAATTAGGACAGTTATGTCTTTGATAACTGTTGGCAGTTTATCTGAGACATGATTGGTGCAAGTACACACACATAAAACAATGGTCTTTTCTCCACATGAACGTGAAACAAAGGTGAAGTATTAAAGTTTGAAACTAATTTACATTTTTAAGGAATCCGAACTGGCTTTAAAAAAAAAAAAGGGAAAAACATTTATTGCACGTGCATGAGTTTTTTTTTAAGTAACAAGAGCTCATCAAAAATATAGGGGACACAGTCTGTGACAAGCCCGAGTAAAGACCACGTGGTTTAAACACTAAAAGTTCTGCAGGCTCTGAAAGTTGCAACAATAGAAATAGCTCATGAGACAATTGTAATTGGACATGGAAAAATATAACAAAGTTAAAATTACAGGCCTCCTGTGTTGTCTATATGTTTGTGTGTGTTATATGTTTGTGTATGTTATATGTTTGGGTATGTTATATGTTTGTGCGTCAATGTCAAGTACACTACGATGACCTTAACAAACTCTGGACCAAAATACTAACGTGGGGAATCGGCCTGTGTGAGTGATGCGAGTGTGGAGTGAACGAGGAGTGCTGAACGGAATCATGGAATAACAAATGTTTTTCTGTAATGTTTTAATGTGATCATGGAATAATTATTTTTTGTCAACAGCATACGGTGTAAGTACTATAGATTCAAAGATAACAAGCTTTATTGAACAGGTGTAAAAGTGAGAGTACTCTGGGATGAGTACTCTGAGAAAAGTACTCTGAGAAAGTACTCTGAGATGAAATACCTCGCTGAAGGTACTGGGAGTCCCTCCCTCTGCTGTTTGTCCTGACAGTGATTCGGTCCAACCGCAGTGAGCGGTCATTGGGCGGAGGACAACTTTGGTTTGTAATTCACATTTAGGGGAGTATAAAATTAGAAACATACATATTGTTAAGTCTGTATTCGGCTACAGCCTCTGCCCTGATGTCACACACCGTCTGTCAATGCAGTTATGTTTTGCCCAATTGGATTGATTGACAGGCTGCTGTTGTAGAATTGTATACCCCATGAAGGAGGAAACTCAAAGGTCCTTTGTCTGATCAAAAGCGTAAGTTTATTGTTAACGCACAGTGCGGAGAGTCAGCATATCCACACAAAGGCAGCATGCTCAGCTCTGGGGGCCAGAGCCCCCAGCTTCCTGTATACAAAACACACACCAAAGATAGTCACGCCCACAACGGAGCGGAGGGGGCCACCGGTGAGGAGGCGCACAGGAAGCGCCGGCGCCATCCCCTGTGGTGGCAGTGGCATGGGGTGTGAACAGACAGACAATGGTGGAAGTGCAGGTCATACAGATGCAAGACGGAAAGACACAAGGGTGTGACAGACAGCAGGGACCTTCACAAAGCTCAGCATGGCGTCAGAAGGTTGTCTGCATTGATAAAAGGCCTTTGACGTCCGTGTATTTGCTGCGGCTGGTTTTAATGTAATTACTCCAAAAACTGTCACCACACTGCACAATGCAAAGAGGGGGAAGTGGGCGTTTCTTGTGTTCTAATGTTTGTTTTTCAGATGAAAGATAAACTGCACCTGCTTCAGGGATGACAGTAGTATGAATTAAGGAAATGAGCCTCTACTTTGGCACCAAAGCCCACAATATGAATTGAGGACGATCCGGGAGGAACAACAGGATTGGAACAGTAATCTACACACACATACAGATGCATGTTTTATACTTTGGACCACGACCAACAGAGGGGAGTATTGTATTGTCATAGGTGGTCATGGTCCTTAACCTTCTAAATCATTAGAAAGAAGTGTAAAACATATATTTACAAGAACAAATAAATAATAGAAAGGGCAGCCTAAAAAAGCAAAATGGGAAAATTATTAAGTAATTTTCGGAGTTGCCAAAATGGAATAAAATTCTATATTTGTCCCATAGGGGGTCATTCTAAATTTAGTGTTGTGCAAATTCAAAAGGAGAAATAATAGCGCTTATAACATCAAACAGATCTACTCTTTAAGATAATAGATCATACAATAATAGAATAGAATGAAATAGTCTGGAGCTATAATGTCATTGGATTCGAGGAGCTATAGGTTGAAAGGTCGCTAGGAAGAGGTGTCAGAATAAACAATAGTAATAATAGTTAGACTAGTGAATAATCAAAATAGTTCTATTGTGGAAATAAGTATCAATAAGGTCAAATTGTTCTAATAACTAAAGTAAAAAAGGAATCAAATGAAGTCCGATTTTAGATGTTTCTGTTTTCCACATCTGTAGGAACTAGTGCAGATGTGTTTATAGAGAGTAGTATTAAAATGCAGACATAGAACGACAGGCTTTAACACAATTTTAAATCTAAAAATAGCTCAAATATAACATTGCTCTTGACGCAGCCTCTGAGCTGCTCCATTGGAGAACAGGTTAAATGTTATTGTTTATTACAAACAGCTGATGTATTTACACATATTAAGTTTGGGACAACTCTTTAAACAGTTATAAGCAGTGGACAGAAGCCATGAATGTGCTTTTGTTTATTAAATAATTAATTTCATAGCCTTATAATCGTAGAGAACGTTTTAAAATAGTTAAAATCCCTTTCAGGCAACTTGATTTAGATGTATGTCTTTAATATTGGAGAACGACTGTGTTGTTTTTGGAATTGTCTGAAATACAATACATAATATAGTGATTTGCAGAACAAGAACCGGCCAATAAAAAATCGTCTATTGCCAATGCTATTGTTACAATCAGAACTCAAAAATTGGGAATATGCTTTGGCTCAAACTACAACCAAGATTTGGAGTCACAATAGAGTGTAAAATAGATAGATGCTTTCAAAAATAGAGATTATTTTTAGACAGGGCTAATATCAAACGGTAAAAAGACCATTTCCTTCATATTATGGCCAAAAGTATTTACTTCAAAGGTAGATAAAGTTCATTACAGTTTATGCACAGTTTTATTAGATACTGTCAAATTCACTTGTTTCAAACATGGGTGAATGTTGACAATGCAAAAAGCTAATGAGATAGATTAATGAGATCGATTAGAACCAACACAGATTCAAAAACATTTGAAAGCATTTTAATGTATTTGGGTATAGCACAAAAGTAGATCTTTAGGTAGTTTTGAGAATTTTAAGAGCTGTCGATTTGTCAGCAACAGATTAGAGAATCAAAATACCGTTGTATAGGGACTGACCCCAGAGAAACCTGCTAAAATGGATTAGCTCCTGTACGGATAATACCAATTTGATTAACGATGTACATTTATCCCAAACGGTCTGAGAGAAGGAAGTGACAGCACTTCCTGGTTCAACAAAATGTATTTGGAAATGAGCAAAGCCCCACGAAATGGCCCAAAGCCACTGATAATGGAAGCAAACCACAGTATAGATAGATTTATTAGATAAAAACATATGTTTAAGAATATGGCTCAATAAAAGCAAAGATGCAAACATATTGGTAAATAGATTAGAATAGTTTAAACTATAGTGAATAGTTTTAGTGCATACATTACAGACGAGGTTGAAGAAGAATCAGAATGACAGCAGTGGTCATCAAAGAGTTTAGTGAAGGAATGTTTCAATGTGGTTGTGTGTTGTTTGTCTTCCTGTATTAACTCTTCACAGATATCGAGCCAGAACTAGGATGATGGAATCTCCCCAGTCCCGTCACCCAGAGAATATTGAAAGATTGTGACCTATTGGTTAATATAGGTCAAAAGAGGGACTGACGAATATTCACAAAATGCTGCACATCAGACAAAGGAATATGCACTCAGGAATCATAGAGATGACCAGCTTACAAAACCAGACAATTATTGACTCCAAGAATAAACAAATGCTCTCTCCCACTCTCTCGACGAGGGCAAAAGTCCAACACAATCAGGCGCCCAGTGGTGGGGGGCATTGTTTGCTCAGGTGGAGATGGAAGACCGGGTCCAGACCAGGACCAGGGGCCAGACCAGTCCCAGATCTGTGACGTCATCGGACCCTTTGATAGAAACTGCTGGGAGGAGATTGGCAGTCAGTCAGCCGAGGGCCAGAGAGAGGGACATGCATAGTTTTAGGAGCACATTTTTGTTGAATATTCTGTATCTGATTGTAAAGATAATTAAATGCAGATGTTAAACTTGGATATCTTCGTCTGATTTCTGTACCAAATTGTGGACACGCCAGCCAAAGGGAATTATTGGCTACAAGACACAAGATCTGTGGCCATATATGGAGGCCAGGTAGGCCGCCAGGTAGCCAAAGAAGCGAAACCGTGGCACAAAGTTGTCCAGAGACGCAGCCTCCACCTCATCTGGAGAGACACAATTGATTTACAACCCACTCAAAGTGTCATGTTAACACATTTTGAAGAAGGATATTACCCAGGAGGGAGGGGATGCGCGTCCTGCACACCTCCATGCAGCGTGTCATGTCCTCCCGGGAAATCAGCCGGTCGAGCTTCTTGGCTTTGACAGCCTGTTGGTGAACTGTCACTCGCCAGCTGAAATCCCGGGCCAGCTTGGACACCTCATGGTGGAGGAGCCGGACGCGCTGCACGGAGACGCGCATGGCCTTTGGTCTGTACATGATAACGTATTCCAGGAACGATTTGGCGTTGGCCAGGAATACTATTACAGTTGTGGGTTCTTTCCCAAGAGCCTCCAGGACAGATGGGTAGCTGTATAAAAATATTTCAAGGTTAAACATGTATTTTGCTTTCAGAAAAAATGCCTCGAAATGTCTTTCATACTCACGCTCTGATCTCACTTTTAAGCCAAACGCCGTCTGTGGCGCCCTTTCTACCTTTTCGGTGGCACCACATTTGAATTTGGTTCCTGGCCTCTCATTGGCTCTGGAGTGATGTGTGACGTGCTTCTCTCTGTGCCAGTGCTATAAACCCGTTCAAGTCTCACACACGCCCCAGCAGCAGGTTGGAGTATTCTGGCGACATCTAGTGGATTAATATTACATTTCATCAGTTTAGAGTCACTACTGCTGAGATAATTCAAGTGTTTAGTCGCTCTTCAAAAGCTTCAGGGGTGATGTAATAAAAAACAACATAGACCAGGTATCTCCAACCAGTAGCTCGCCAGGCCTTTCCAATTATCTCACCAAAGATTTTTTACATTTCATACATACACTTGATGGGTCGCATTTTGGTTGCATTTTTGTTTTGAGAGAAATACCTCAAAATTTAGTAAAGAATGAAGGAGAAATTGTTTTGAGTTGAATCATCATGTTGTCAGTCCCACAGGCCTAATTACATGTGTTTCTTTGAAGTTTTAAGTAGCTCTCTGCCATTTTTGTTACACAAAAGTAGCTCACAAGGTAAACATGATTGGCGACCCCTGCCTTCTATGATGTGTCGTGCAGTTAGTGTCCTTCGATCATGTTTTTGTGTTTGATGAAATTCTCTACTGACTATTGTTTTAAGCACACTTATCTTCTCACAAAGGTTCCTCTTCTGTTTTAAGCAATATATGGCCTGTAAATGTATTGTTCACTAGATGGCACTGTATTGTGCATAAGACCCTTATTTTTTCTAAGCTGTAGGCCTAAATGGGAATATGTCTAAACTAGTGCTGTCCAAAATATCGCGTTATTAACGCGTTAACGCAAATCAATATTAACGGTGTCATTTTTTATCGCGCGATATACACATATACAGAAAAGAAAAATAGAAACAAAGAAAAGGACTAGTTCAGATACATTGTAGACAGAGATTACAAACAATATGTAGTTGGAGATACAGGGGGCCAAAGAAGAAACCCAGAAGGGCACATAGGAGGGGGGGGGGAGGGGTTAATAAAAAGGCAATATAAGCAAACAGTATACAGTCATAGATATACCCAAAGTAAACAGAGAAACAGCATAGAGTATTTACATGAACAAATTTACAAAATATTTACAGATTGTTTATCATCATCATAATGACACCATGATGTTTCTATACAGTCTATGGTCTATACCCACACATACACACACACACCCACACCCATAAACACACACACTCCACACACACACACACATACACCCCACAGATAAGATAAGATATAAAGTCTGCCCGCCTGAGTTTCACCAAGCTACAGTAAGCGGAATCCAGCCAACATCAAAACCAAATCCGACACACACACAGACCCCCAAGCAGGCCCCCACCCCAAAAAGGGGGGGAGGGAGCCCACGCCCGGCCCATTCCCTCTCTTATTTTGTTCCTTTTTCCCAAGTGTTTTTCTTAACTAAACGTGTCATGCATTAAAATAAGCTTTCGCTTACCCTGACTTGTGTATTATCATTATATGCACATATGCACATATTATTCATGTTATTATTATATTTATCTACTTATTCATTCATTTTTTATTTTATTTTATTATTATTATTAATTTTATTTTATTATTATTCCATCCATCCATCCATCCATTTTCTTCCGCTTTATCCGTTGCCGGGTCGCGGGGGCAGCAGTCTAAGCAGAGACGCCCAGACTTCCCTATCCACACACACCTCCTCCAGCTCGTCCGGGGGGACCCCAAGGCGTTCCCAGGCCAGCTGAGAGACATAGTCCCTCCAGCGTGTCCTAGGTCTTCCGCGGGGCCTCCTCCCGGTGGGACGTGCCCGGAACAGAGTGCATTGTGAGATTTAACAGTCCAATTACACTTGAGGTGGACACAAATGTTTAGCCAGATTTAAATTGTTAGGAAGGCGTGGCTCACTAACAACTCTCACATGGCATAATCTGTGGATGGACTCCTCATGTGTGTGTTGTCTTTACACAGATCTTTAGTCTCAAGTATGAACAATCTTCTAGTGTATGGCCACCTTTTAGACTACATATGCATTCTACTCCACAATCAAGGATAAGAGAATCATCCTTGATTGTGGACATTCAAGGATGATTCAGCATTTTCAGTCATTTTGAAATGTAGTGTTCTGAGCTATTTTTGTCCAGTACTTAATCCCATTTCTGCTATGTATGTAAAAGCAATACAATGGATTTAAACATACTGGTGAAGAATCCGGTTCTGCCACTGGAACTTGAAGCATCCCAATTGTCAGTAGGCCCTCTTCCTCTGGAACATGGAGCTCATTATAGTACTGGGAAGTTACCCCAGTCCAGACATCTCTCCATAGACGCTCCACTCTGAAAAAATGTCCATGAAAATACAAATACTTGAAATGAGTGAGAAATAAATTTGACTATTACCGTTTTGGTTATGGACACTTCTCCCAGCAATGAAGCTACCACGGTTAGTTCCACGCACATTCAAACATGTATCTGGCAATGTCCACATTTTCAACTCCTATCTGCACGGACTCTGAAAAGGAAATGTTTAGGTTTTGTCTTGGATATTGAAAAAATATATTCAGGCTATTATTGAAAGGTAAACGTTGTTTTCTTGAATGTATGGGCCTAAGCATAGAGTATCTTTTTAAACTTACACACATGCACACATCTATTGCCCAAATAAAAGCTTACAAATATTCACTTGATGGACAACCATGTCTTCTCACACCCTCCATGAAGAAGCCCAATGCTGTCGCAGCTTTGTTGTTTGCAGCCGCATTCAGGAAACATAATCTTGAATTAAATTTAAAATGGATTTATCTCATAATACTGAAGGACAACAATAATCTTACCTTTCTTGAAAAACCATCAATGCCTCCAAAAATCACATACTGTACTTTAAAGATATCATGAAACAAACTCAAACAGGTCTGTTTATAGTCACAAATATACAAAATGCAAGCACAGAAAAAGTGCACACACACACACAACTATATACACACACATGCACACACAGTAAACATACACCACACTTCATACACAAACACACACACACACACACAAATATCAATAGGATTACCAACACACCATAGACATAACAACATACATAGAAAAACACATACGCAGTCACACCAAATACAATACACAACACGTTTAACATGGTGACAGTGATGGACTTTTACCCTGAGAATGCAGCTCTTTACTGCTGCAGTTTATCGTTTTCTACGATGTATGAAGGACTTTTTGAGAAATCCCAACTGAATAATTCAGAGTTGTCTTGATGCGGTCCTCAACACAGTCGTATGAATTCTCACCTAAGGCTAGAGCTGGTGAACAGTCGTGATGGAGCAGGACACACAAAGCAAACAATCCAATGGTAAAAGTGTGTATGACCGAGAACACAACATCTGTCGGTCTCAAAGCTGTTGAGTCCCACAGCAGATCAGAGAGTAAAACAGAGAGAACACACAGGGCTGTAGACCAAGGACTAAGGCTGTAGACCCAGGACTTACCCAGGACTGAGGCTTGTAGAACCAGGGACTAACCCAGGACTGACGCTTGTTAGACCAGGACTGAGGCTGTGTGTGTAGACCAAGGACTACCCAGGACTGAGGCTTGTAGACAGGACTGAGGCTGTAGACTGCATTGTATATTTTAACTAATGCAGATTGTGAAATATTGGCTGACATGATATGAAATGTCTGTTCCTAAAGCAAAAAGACATGGTTTCCCCCATGTTCCTTTTGTTTTTTTTTGTCCAAAGTGCATGGGTGAAGTTAATGATAGGTAATTGGGGGGGGGATGTATGCTAAACCTGAAGGAGGGGGACCCAGAGAGCCTTACTGCCTTATCTCAAAGAAGTAAAAAAATTTGGGAGTGTAAGTGTGTGTGAATGATTCTGTTTAAGGTACGGCAGACAGAGGGGAATGAATGGAAAGGCCGAGACCCAAGTCCTGCCTGATACGGACACGCCCCTGCTTCCTGAACATGGCAGAAATGCTCTGGCTGAGGAGGACTTCAGGAGTATGAGCCGAGGGCGGCGGGGAAATGCATAGTTTTAGGAGCCCTCTTTGTTGGAATTTCTGTATCTGATTGTAAAGTATAATTGTGTAAAATACAGATGTTAAAAACTTGGAGATCTGTTGTCATGCCTTGCATCAACTCGAAACACGTCAGTCAAGGGAATTATTGGACTTCATTTGGTTGACCCCGACGTGATGGTGCAGGGGAAGACAGAGGATGAGGTCACATATAGACTGGGTACGTGGGCGGGAGAATTCTCTCTTCTCTTCTCTCTTCTTTCGAAAGAGGTAGCGGATCGTTACTTTTGAAAATCTGCACATAGTTTTAAATGGAAGAGGAGAGAGAATTCGTGGCCTCGTACGGACCTGCAGCGTGGCCGGCGACCGCCGTGACGGGGCGTTCTATCGGACGCGATGAACAAAATAATAGTTCAGGTAGAGTTTTAACCTTGGGGGAAGCATTGTTTTTTTTGTCCCTCTTAAAAAACAGAACAGATGATGAAAAGAGCACAGGGGTATAAGTTGCAAAAGAGGCAACAACTGTTTAGATAAATGGATTGAGAGATAGGGATAGTTAGGGTCAGAAGTGATAGGTTATTAAACCTTCTAATATCCCCCGGGGGCGGGGAAAAGGCACATTAATTTAAACATAAGAAAAGCAGTATTTAAATATGTGGATTCTGATAATAATGATCTGATTAATGAGAAAAAGAGAGCCTCTGTGTCTGTAGTATACGAGTTTAATGTGAAGAAATGAATCAGTTTGGAGTTTTTCTCTTATTCTGATAGTAATGTTAATAGTCACAGAGAAATCAAAAAAAAAAAAAGAGATTTCTGCTGGGACTATTACTCATGAAAGCAAATAGTAATGTT